CTGTTTGGCACTGTTCTGTACTGTTTGACACTGCTTTGATGTAGATAATTTGCTAAATAAAAAAAATATTGAAGTGTGAACTTAATTTAGGGGATGTCCAAAAAGGAAAGTGAGGACTTAATTGCGGGACGCAGGGAGTACTTAAAAACACTACACATGTAAGAGAAAATACACACACTCAATTATTAGTCCGCTCATGTAGTTTACCTATAAGTACAATATATGAGAGACGAAATTATCACGATCAAATATTAGTCCATATATCACTAAAAGACTACATATGAGAGAGAAATTATCCCGCTCATTTATTAGCCCTCTTATTTTATACCCAAAAACACTACATATAGGAGAAAAAATTCTTCTTCTCAATTTATAGTTGTTAATAATCATATGCGAGAGAAAATTCTTCCGTTTAATTGGTGTCAAATAAAAGATCATACACAAGTATAAATTTTGATTTTTTTTTTTTTTTTGCATAAAAACCCTCTTTTTTAAAAAAGAGGGTTTTTATGTCATGGGACCCACCAATTGAATTCACCTTTGGAAACGAAGTACTCCGTTAGAATTACTCCGTTGCCACATGGCACAATAATAGCAATGGAGTGAAATGTGGGGAGAGAGCCATGTGTCAATATAGAGGGTATAATGATATTTTAATGAGCCATTTTTTTCTTATTTATAAAATAAATAGATGTCTTCTCATGTTAGTCCACATATCTTATGTTATCTTATACTTAAAAAGAATTATGTATGAAAGAAAAAATTCACTCTCTCAATAATCAGCACACTTAAAGTTTTTATACCAAAAAACACTACATATGAGAGAGAAGATTCTTTTGCTCATTTATTATTCCGCTTATCGTATACCAAATAGCGCTACATATGAGAGAGAAAATTATCATGTTTATCATCTTATAGGGACTTTATTTGATTGAGATAAATTAATTGAAATCTTAAAATAAAGTAAAAATTAAATTTGAAAGTTAACAAAAATTTATTAAATTTGATATTTTTGTCATGGTGAGAGTACAATTAAAAAAGATATAGAACTTCAAAAAAATTGGGGACTTTATTTGATTGAGATAAATTAATAGAAAATCTTAAAATAAAATTAAGTAAAAATTAAATTGTAGTTGCTGAAATTTTGTAGTTTTTTTTTTGGCTGGAAATTTTGTAGAATTAGAATATACTCCCTCCGTAACTTTAAAATCTTCTCATTTCAAAAGTAGGTAGATTAAGAATAGTGAAAGAGAATATGAATTATTGAGGGTATGATGGGAAGATAGTGGAATAATGTGATGGAATGTATGATAAATCCAAAAAAGTAGTTGTAATAGTGTATTATTTTCAGAATTATTGAGGGTATAATGGGAAGATTTAGAAATGAGAAGATTTTTATGTTACGGACGAAAAAGGAAAGTGGGAAGATTTTTTTGTTACGGAGGGAGTAGAAATTAGATAGTGCAGATTTGTGGAGCCCAATACAAATTACGTAGAATGAGGGGTTTCATTTTTAGAATGATTATTATCATCATTATTATTAGAAGTGAAAAAACTGAGTGAGTGAATGCAAAGAAGTCGGGTTTTGTTTTGCTTTCCGTTACAAAATGATTACTCAATTTCTTTGGAAATAAGCAGCCACGTGTCAATAAGGAATGAGAGGAGAGAATTAAGGAGAGTTAGACACCTAGGATTCTCTAAGGGTAAAATTGTATTTTTAGGAGCTATTTCTTTTCTTATATATAAATAGATTCTTTTTTGTTTCTCTTTTTACCGGCTGAATAGGTCACAGGTAACATAGATCAATTTGGGAAGACTGCCAATGAACTTGGGATTATATTAGAATTAGGGAAAATGGAAACTAATAATCCAACTTTTTAGCGGTCTTCTTTTAAAAGTCCCACCTTTTTGTTATTCATGAATAATCCAACATTTGTACCTCATCTTCATTCACTGGTCCCCGACCGGTTGATGACCTGTTATTCTAAGTTATTTTCTTATCTTTGCAAAATATTATCTTTGTGAAAGGTGGAATTTATGGTATAATAGTTTGCAGAGATAAGAAAATAACTCGGAATAGCAGGTCATCAACCAGTCGGGGACTAATGAATGAAGATGAGGTGCAAAGATTGGATTATTCATGAATAATGAAAAGGTCGGACTATTAAAAGAAGACCGCTAAAAGGTTGGATTATTAATTTCCATTTTCCCTTAGAATTATCAATATTTGAGATTAATACGAGAAGACCGCTAATAGTTCGGATTATTCATGTGAATTTTTCCTTTTTTAAAAAAATATACGCCTAAGATAAAAAATAACATCAAAACTATAATCACTTTCAATATCAGTAAAATAAGTTCACAGAAGTTGCACAATACACAATAGTGCCCTTTATTTCACCCAAATCTTTGTTCCCTCGTATACATGTATTCCAAATATTTTATATATAGAATATATGTGCGCGCGCGTTTGTGTGTCTCAATTGTGTTCCCTCGTATAGGAAAGCAAGGGCAAACTAGAATGCATCAACAAACTGCACTACATAACTTTTTATAGAAATTACTTCAAATAGGACTAAAACTATGGCAAAAACTCAAAATAGGACTTGCTATGTTTTTTTTTTCAAAATAGGACCATAGTGGTCCTATTGGAAACATACTCATTTCTTTCTTCCATTCTTACCCCTCCTTTAAATATTATTAAAAGATAGCTAAAAGTCATAATTAAATGTTTAATTCATAATAAATTCGAAAAAATTTCAATAATTCGTAGAAAAATAATAAAAAAATTAATAAAATTTTTATAAAATAAAAAATAAGAATTTTTTTTTTTTAATTTTTTTTTTGAAAAATAATAAAAAAATAGTAAAACTCCATAAAAAATTATAAAAAATATGGATACCTTTCCCACCGCCTGTAGTACCTCCCTGAACCACCACCTCCGATCGGTGTAAAAAATGCCACTTTTTTTTTTTAAATTCCACAAAAATGGCATATTTTTCTATGAGAATGCCAACATTTTCATTCTGCCAACTTGAATCCTTTTGACTTTTGCCAAAAATATGGCATTCATAATTTTTTTGGCATTTTTTTTACCCCGGTGACAGGAGGTGGTGGTACCGCCTCCCTGCACCACCACCTCCGACCGTTAAAAAAAAATGTCATATTTCCTACAAACTTCCATTTTTTTCAGAAAATGCCAAAAATATGACATATTTCTCTTTGAGAATGCCAACATTTTTTTTCTTCCATCTTAAATCATTCTGAATTATGTCAAAAATATGGAATTCATAATAAATTTGGCATTTTTTCCCCAAATGACTAGAGGTGGTGGTGCTGGGGCGGTATAGGCGGCGGTGACAAAAAAAATATTTTTTTGATTTTTTTTTTAATTTTTTTAATTTTTTTTTTAAATTTTTTTTTTAAAATTTATTATTATTCAAAATATTTTTATTAATTTTTTGGTATATTTTACGAATTTTCATTATTTTTTATTATTTTATTATGAATTAAAACATTCCAATAGGTATAAGGGTATATTTGTCCAAGACAAACATAATTAGTCCTATGGAAACATAGTTTATTTTTTGGTCCTATTTGTGCAAAGTGAATGACTTTTAGTCCTATTTTGATAATTAACTCAACTTTTTATTATTTGATGCTCCAATTAGGCTCTGTTTGCAACCACTTGTGCTTAAATAAAAGCACTTTTTGAGAAAAAGTGATTAGTAGTAAAAGTTGGTAGTGTTTAGTAAAATAAGTGCTTTTTGTGTAATAGAAAAAGTAAAAAGTAGAATCTACACGAAAACCGAGGAGGTAAAAGTTGATAGTGTTTGGTAAAATAAGTGCTTTTTTCTTTAAAAAAAAGCCAAAATCATTTTTTTTAATTGATTGCAAACAAAGCCCTTAATATAGCTAACTCTAACTTGGTTCTTAATCAAAGAAAAACTAAAATTATTTCTAAACATGCTCCATGAGATTAAATCCCAAATGTAGACAAAGAAACCACGTCTTAAAAGCGTTTTAAAATAATATGGTTTTCAACATTCAACTTTCGTAGGATCACAACGTTCATGCCATTATGTGTGTGTATTGTAACCACAAACAGAAAGGAGAAAGGAAGATCAACAAACTGTAAGAGCCCGTTTGGTAGTACGAAAATCGGCTGTTTTGGTTGATTCTGCTGAAATTTCTAAACTTCTGGCTGAAGTGACTGCATTGGCTGATTCCGCTGATTTAAGAAACAATTACTTTTAAAATATATTTTATTAATAAAATAAAGAAAAAACTATATGTAAAAATAGCTAAAATGGTCATCTACAGTAACTTCAGCCAAAACCGCCAGGAACCTTATTTTTTCTGCTTATTACACAACTCAATACGCAAAAGTAAAAGTTACGTGTTTGGTAAAAATGTTGATTGATAAGTCCGATAAGCCGAAAAATAGTTCTCCCTAACCGCCTCTAAATTTGAACATGTTTAAAAAGTAAAACTACAACTTCTTTTATGCGTCATCTGGGGTGGTTAGAGAGTAAATGACAGAACAGGGTAGAATCTTTGCAGGTGTTTCCAAAAAGTGTAGGTGTGACCGAATTATTGGTTGAAGTGGTTCAACATATTTGCCAAATATGTTCAGTATTTGCAAAAAGAAAAAAATATGTATCTGGACATATTTGCCAAATATGTCAGTCTTCCTATTGGTCAAGAGGGGTGGGCGCGGATCGCCATCTTGGATCGTGAAGCGAAGGGCTTGGATCGCATTAAAATAAGATATTCCCAACATATTTGGCAAATATATCGGTCTTCCTATTGGTCAAAAATATGGGGCGCGGATCGCCATCTGGGATCATCAGCTGAAGGGTGTGGATTGATTCGATCTATTTGAGCAGATTTACGAATCTATTGTAATAAATTAATATATTTCTCAACATATTTGGTGAATATGTCCGTGCTCCTATTGGTCAGAATAAGGTGGTTCGGATTGCCAATTACTCAACATCTTTGCCAAACCTGCTCTATAAAATCCACCACAAACCTCACCTCACAACCCCATCTCACGGTTCCAATCTGTCTTCTAACTTCTCCAAATTTTGGCCATCTCCTTCATCTTAACCCAAGTAAGTTCTTCTTTAATATTTTTAGTTTAATTTAATTTGTTACTTTATAAAAGTAGGAATGAAATTAATTAACGTTAAGTAATTTAACATTAAGTTATATCTTCTCCAAATTAGTTAACGTTATGTTACTTTAGGTCAACTCCTTCTCCAAATTTATTAATAAAGTAATTAAGTTTTTCCAATTTAATGATTAATTTAGGTAATAATTAAAGTTAGTAATTTAGGAATGAAATTATTCTATAATAGTGTTAATTTGTAATTGTGAATTAGGAACCTAAACAAAAAAGTGAAATAGGAAACTTGCGAAATTTTAGTTTATTTACCAAATATGAAAGATTAGTGTTATATGTATGTATGTATAAATTTTGTAATATGCATGCTAACCTTTTTGGAAAATTTTGCCCACCTTTAGTTTAAAGTTTGTAGTAATTTTTCCTATTTTGGTGTAGAAATTAGTCTATAAGTTGTGATAATTAACGAAAAAATAATGTATAGTATTAGTCTATAGTTAACGAAATATGTTGTTTTTTAATTAGGTGTATTTATTTGTATTACAAATTGTATTATAAGTAGTGTTGTTTAATTACATATATAATTTGTATTATAAATAGTGTTGTTTAATTAAATTTGTAATTACGCACAAAGTATTACAAATAGGAGTGTTGATTTGGAATTAATTTAATAATATACTTTTAGGTTTTCATGGCTACACAAAGAGAGCACCCCCATCCCGGGCCCATAAAACGTTCTGTATTGGTAATGAAACCTGGAGAACATCGTGCTGATAATGTGTGGAAAACTGAAGAGTCGAGAGACCTAAAATTGAGGTGCATTACTTACCCCAAATCCGCCAAAGACGATGGCGAACGTGATCCTAGAGTCGTACAACTGCTGAGGACATCAGGCTTTCAAGGAGCTGAACGAGTAGTACAAATCAAAATTGATCACGGTCTTATCACTGCATTGGTTGAGAGGTGGAGACCAGAAACACATTCTTTCCATTTACCTTTTGGCGAGGTCGGCATTACCTTGCAAGATGTACAGGTGCTGCTGGGGTTACCGATTGATGGTCTCCCACTTACTGGTCCGACGGCACATAGTAAGACTGAATGGGTCCAAATGTGTGATGATTATCTTGGTTTCAGACCATTTGAAAAAGATATAATATCATCCAACAGCATTAGAAATCTAGCCATTCAGCGCTTTTTGTTGTCACCGTGGAGCACTGACATTGAAGTTATTCAACATACTAAAACGTTGATTTGGCAGTTGCTCAGTGGGTTGTTGTTCCCTAGCACTTCCGGTAGAGCGTCACTTTACTTTCTTGAGTTGTTGCATGACAATGTAGAGAATTTGACTAGGTGGAGTTGGGGCTCAGCTGTGTTGGCATTTCTGTACCACAACTTATGTGAAGCGGCGAAGGCGGACACATCTTCGATTGGAGGATGTTTAATCCTTTTACAACTTTGGGCATGGGAGAGGTTGCTAGTGGTTCGACCCCAACGGGTTCTTCCACTGCATGCAATATTTGATTTGCCCTATGGTGCTAGGTAAGCTTCATTGACATAATATATTACATTGTACTGTATTATGGTTTTTATGATTTGTCTTATAATTCGTTAAATTTAGGTGGGCTTGTGCACATAACTGGGCCGACTCTAGCAGATTCACTCTTCGCATTTATAGGGACCAATTTGACCGATTAAGCGAGTCGGAGGTAAAATTTAAATTTATTTAATAAAATACTTTTATATATATATTTTTACTAATATGGAACAATTTTTTTGCACAGTTTGAATGGACACCTTACCCGCTTACTAGTCTTCTAGCTTTTTGCACTCATGCATTTGATCTGTGGGCAACTAAAGCTCCACTTATTTATTGTTCATATTTTGAGGCATACTATCCTGGTAGATTTTGTCGTCAATTCGGTGCAGTCCAGGATATACCTAGGAGCGTGACTCATAACGACCGTCACCATGCTACTAGACCAGAGAACAATGCTGAGTTTATTACTGAATGGGAGCAGTTTATTACAGAATGGGAACAACCCATATACGTGGGTCGTGTATATGATACATTCGAAGAGTTGAAGCAAGATGTGTCCCTTGTAAACCTCAAAGAATTTCGAACTTTTCGTAATGAGGCGAAACGCATAGATTATTGGCGAGCAAAGTGTGTTCATCATGAAACTTGTGCGTGGTTTATTCAAGCATCACTAATCAAACACACCACACAGTGGAAAGTCAAACAGTATCAACCGAAACACAATTGCATTCCCAACTACACACAAGGTAAGAATGATAAACTGCTCACGAGTAAGTTAATTGCCTCTGAAATAAGCTCCAAGATTTTTGTTAAGCCCGATTATAGTGTAAAGCTAATCATGCATGACATACAACGGAAGTTCAACATCCACGTGGGTTACAAGAAAGCATGGTATGCTCGAATCTTGGCATTGGAGAAACGGTTTGGCAATTGGGAGGCAGCGTACAACGATCTCCCAAAACTTCTACAAGGTATGGCATTTAGTAATCCAGGCACCATTGTTGACCTACGAACAGACCAAACTGATACACAAGGTACGTATGAATTTAAGTACGCTTTTTGGTCAATCAAGGCAGCGATTGATGGTTTCAATCATTGTCTTCCGGTCATTTCCATTGATGGTACACATTTGTACGGTAAGTACAAAGGCACTTTGTTGGTCGCGGTGGCAATGAATGCTAACCGTGAAATCTTTCCTCTAGCTTTTGGGGTGGTAGATAGCGAAAACGGGGATAGTTGGACGTGGTTTTTACAGTTAGTTGCGACAAATATTATTCCTCCGCGTCGGAATGTTTGCATAATATCTGACCGACATGTCGCGATTGATTGTGCGTTCCGGAATGTGCCACAATTGGGAACACCTCTAATTCAGAGGCGATATTGTCTTCGACACATTCGAAGTAATTTTATGTCCCAATTTCGAAGCAAGAATCTCAAAAAATTGTGTTGGCGTGCCGGAAGTACTCCCATTCTAAATGAATTTACTAACTACATGCAACAAATACGGGGTGCTAATGAAAGAGCATTCAACTATCTTGATGCCATTCCTAAAGAGAAGTGGGCACTTTGTTTTGATGGTGGATGTCGTTATGGAATTTTAACGACCAATCTATCTGAAAGTTTTAACCATGCCCTAAAAGGATGTAGAACGCTTCCGATTACAGCACTTGTGAGAGCAACTTTCGATAAATCTGTTCAGCTCTTTGTAGAACGACGTAATGCTGGTATGATGTGGAATCAAAGTGGATATCAATTTCTGGAAAAAATCCGGAAGCAGATTATGGATGGATGGCAACAAAGGCGTCACACTGTTGTAATCCCGCACAATTATCACAGTGGAGTTTTCTCAGTAGCCATAGAAAATGCAACTCCGGTTACGGTAGATTTTTCAAGGAGCGACTGTGATTGTGGCTGCTGGAGGATGAACTAGATGCCATGCAGCTACGTGCATGCTGTGTGTCACTTCCTCGACCGCCCTGTCAATCAACTTATTCCGGAAGTCTATAAACTGACCTCTTACATTAATGCACATGCTGGTGATATTATGCCTTTACCAAATATGAATGAGTGGCCTGATATTGGGATCCATCTTTTACCGCCAAAATATTTATCACGAACTTCTCGAGTGGGGCGTCGTCAAGAAACGAGGTTTCAAAATGAGATGGATATGCGTCCAAGCAGAAGAAGAGGACAACAATGATTTCATGTATTTTTAATATTTCAGCGTTTTTAATAATTTCTTATGAAGGAATTGTACTTTTTAAGTTTTTAATAACAAGTTGTTTCTTATCATTTCAATAAATATTTCAATTCAGAATATATAAATTTTCATTTCAGTAGATTGTAGTGTATAATTTTCGTGAAATGTGGGAAGAAATAAATAAAGCATTGTTAACTAAATCTATTCAAACCTCTTTTTTTCGGAAATCGTTTAACATATTCACCAAATATGTTGCTTGTTTTTTTTAATCGAAAACTGTTGAACATATTCACCAAATACGTTCACTGACTTCTTCTTCTTTTTTTTTTAAATAGAAATCCATTGAACATATTCACCAAATATGTTCTCTGACTTCGATCTTTTTTAATAAAAATTCAGAGATATCTATTGAACATATTAACCAAATATATTGAGTCTTTGGAATGGTCTGCAGACCAGAATCTACACCATTTGGAATGGTCTGCAAAGATCCTACCCTGTTTCGTCAATCACCCGTGGTTAGATAGAATCATATACTTCGTACAGAATCTTTTATGCAAGTGTATGCTGATGGGGTGGGGGGGCTAAAAGGCAAATAATTGTATATAGTGCCTGTTTGGAGGTCAAAAAATGGGCTTATAAGCCTCAAAATACAAAAAAAAATGCCGAACACCCATGTAAGACCATTTGGAGTGGTGCAAGAGCCCAAATGTCAAAAATGGACTCCGTCGATATGAAAACAGTGTTTTGACTCCTATTCTCTGCATTCCAGCACCGTCAATAAAATACACTCTGCACATTTTTTACATATCAATTTAGTAAAACATTAATTACATTATTATAAGTAATATTTTCCTTTTAATTTTTTCTCTGATTAATTATAAAATAAAATAGACACATTTCGATGTAAAAAAAATAAATTTCATTATTTATTTTTTTCGTTTTTTCTTGAGTGATTTCAAACACATTGGAGCATTGGATTCTCTTCTCAACTTTGTGTTTATCCATAACACATTGGATTCCTTTCTTGAGGAAGACATAACAAAAATATAGTGAAAAAATATGATGAAGAATGAGAGAGATGAGAGATGTGTGATTAAAATGAGAAGGAATGAGGTGTTTATATAGAATTTTCGAGCAAAATATTAATTAAAAATAACTGAAAAATAAAATAAATTATTTCAACCGTTGGATTTAAATTTCAGCCGTTGGATCATTTTTTTCCCCGTTCAAACAGTGCTAAGATCATCACAGCCGTTGGATCTTTCAAAAAAAAATTAAAAAAACAACCCTTGCTAGTGCATGATGACATCATACTGACGTCACCGTGATGTCAGCGATGGCAAATAATTTCCAGGCCTCTGCTCCCCGCCTGCGCACAGCAGGTATGCCCCCCTCCCCTTTTTCTTTTCTTTTCCTTTTTCTTTTTGGCTGTCCAAAACTCCTCCAAATTTAACCCCTTCCCTCCCCATATCCATTTTTAATACCCTCTACACTCAACCAATGTATGAAATTAGGAGTCCAAAAATGCCATTTTAACATTTTGGACTCGTAATGCCTCACCACTCCATTTGGTCTAATGGGCTGATTTGGCTTATCAGCCGAAAAATCTAGTCCAAGCTTACTTTTTCAGCTGAAATTGATTATTTCACCCTTCCAATCATGGAGAACATTTTCTTGCTTCCCTGCATAAGTACCTAACTATTCATCTTCTTTTCCAGCCGTGCGCATCGATTCATCTGAAACCAAACAGCCACTGTTTAGGTTGCAAGCAATTTTACCTTCCTCTCCGGCTCAAGCTCCTTCTGCACGGACTACAACTCAAAATTCTTCTCCAAACTTCACCTGCTCCACACTCACACACCTTTTCTTCTCCTTCATCAGTTCATACGCTCATACCCCCTGTTTCTTCCTCCCACCCTTGCTCATCAAAACCATCCAGCACCGTTTGAAATTTCATGGTTGTTCACTTGATTTGGTCCCCTCCGAATCAACTTGAAATATCATTAATAACGTTAATTTAATGAGAAGAAGACAATCAATTTTGCTTGAGGTTGGATGGGAAAATCTTCTAATCCAGATCCAGTACTTTCTGATCTGATCAAGTGGGATTACTAGCAGACAATAGTTGGGAAAATCTTCAAGTAAACCCAGATCCAGTACTTTCTGATCTGATCAAGTGGGATTCAATACTGCTAGGATTATTAGCAGAAAATTTGTAATCAGACATTTCCCAATTAACGTTATTAATGCTTGGATGGGAAAAAACCATTTACTGCACACTCATACATTTAAAACACAAACATGCCCTAATACCCTTTAGGGTAATTTTACATTGAATCACTCATTTCAGCCAATATATTACCAAACACTTTCACTTCAGTAAATTCAGTCTTTTCAAACTTTTCAGCCGTTACAGCCAATGCAGCTGTTACCAAACAGACCCATAAAGTGCTATCGTATTTTGCAAGCGGAGATAAATGAAAGGTTGGGCACAATTGTGCTCCGAATGAGAATTTCCACTTTGCTTTTAAATTAATCAAATTGAGAAATTATTGGCAACTCATTTATTTAGCTTTTTAGGAAATATTTTTTACCAAATAATAAATTATTAATTTTGCACATTGAATTGTGTAATAATCAATACACATATATTTATTTTTTACTAGCATGGATTCATTGAAGAGAACCATTTTAGGGTTTGTATCATTTCGTATTTACTTTATTAATAAACATATACTCCCTCCGTCCCGAAATAATTGCCCCGCTTTCATTTTCGGTCTGTCCCGAAAAAAATTGTCTTGGTTCTTTAACTTCCTTATTTGGTAAACAAATTTACACAAAAAAGTGTCAAACAGTGCAAAACAGTACCAAACAGTGTCGCTATAGTGCCAAACAGTGTCACTACAGTGTCAAATAGTGTGCAGTCAGATTCATTTTCTTAATCTGTGTGAAAGTCAAACCAGGACAATTATTTCGGGACGGAGGGAGTATGTTTTAAATATGAAAAATTGCATGTGTGTTTGTGACTAAAAAATATGTCCCTAGTTCAAATCGATTGTTTTAGTACTCCATCCGTCCCATTTAAAGGTTCCCGGACACTATTCTCCGGTCAACGTGCATTGTTCTTAATCTTTTACTTCATACATCGAAAGTTTATGATTTTTAAATTATTTTTTGCAGGTTTTGTAACGGTTTTAATGTAGTTTCTGAATATATAAATTTTATTTGCTAAAAATAATTCTATTAATGACATGGATAAGTTAATTTTATAGTCAATCAAACATCGTAAATCGTGTGAGAACCTTAAAGTGGGACGAAGGGAGTAACATTTAGGTAGTGATCATAACCATGTCCCAAATTTACAAGTTGGTGACCATGGAATTATATTCATAGTAAGTATCATCACAGTTTTACATATACTCCCTCCGGTTTTTAATAAATTTCACACTTTCCTTTTTTGGACGGTCTAAAATAACTTCACACTTCCTTATTTCCTTTTTTGGCAAAGAAATCTACATCAAAACAGTGCCAAACAGTGTCTCAACAGTGCCAAATAGTGTCAAACAATACCTCAACAATGTACTCTACAGTAAAGTCAAATTTCTTTCCTTATTTTGTGTGAAGTCAAACTGTGAAGATTAAAAAAAACCGGAGGTAGTATTATTTAGTACTCCCTCCATCCCGCTATGATTGTCCCAGACACTATTCACTTGGTCAACACAAATCACTCTTAATCTCTTACTTTATGTATCAATTTTTTACCAAATTTGATTCCGATTTTGCGACTTTGTAAAACTTTTAATGTATTTTTTGAATATGTATTTTTTTTTTCTCAAAAAAAATTTGAGTGTAGACATAGATCTGTTTGCTTTATTGTCGATCAAACATCGTAAACCGAATTGTCCCAAACATAGTGGGACGGAGGTAGTAAGAATTTAGAAAGCTCCACTTTGATTTTTTTGTAATGGAATAGATTCAATTGTTTCGATGCACAATTTAATTTTCAATAGCTTCAATGAATTCAATTAATTTTTGTAATCAAATGTGGTCTAAAAATTGTTATTGTGTCATAGAACATGTATTGGCGGACAAAAAAATTTACACTCTTTAACACAAAAAGAACATATAGATGAGTATAATTATTAAGGGCAGGGCATCACCCATAGACTATTTATGTCATAAATTTAATGAACTACTTTGTGATTCAAGGTGTTTTACCTAATTGGTTTTAGATAGATGTGTTTGAAGTGAAATCAATTCTTGGAACAATCAGAGGGCGTGAATGAAACAGTGTTGGCCCCCAAATCATACCCGACAATATAGTTCAATTGTCCCATATTTCCATATGTATAGTTATCATCTTCAGCTGGAACAAGAGTCAAACAAACAACGCCTTCAGTTACTTTAACAAAGGCTCCATCCTTAATGAAGACGTCGCCCCCTGCAAAATTTGCGACGATGTTTGGCACCTTAAAAGTGCTAGCAGAATTGTAGCACAACTTGAATGGGGACATAGGATCCACTGGGGTCAATGGTATTGCATCTTTCACCTCCGACTCCAAAGTTTTGTACATATCACCGGGGAGATATGTGAGAGTTGTTCCGGAATCAATGATAATATTTCCTTTGAATTGATGAAATAAAGATTAGTTCGTATTTGTCCATCACCTTTGTTTTATTTATTTAATTATATGCATCATTATGTGTACTTCTAAAATAGTACACGGTATTATAGCCTTTTCAATCCAAATGAACATTAAAAAATAGAAATAATAAATGAGTACATTTTATATACTACCTCCGTAACCTTAGAATCTTCTCAATTTGACTCTTTTGGGTCAAACTTTATAAACTTTGACCATTAATTATTCAAATCTCACATTATGTTATGATTAAAAATTTATTTTATATACCTCATTGTAAAACATATTATTTGAATGTTAATTTATTATGAATTTTATAAATATAAATATGTAGATATTTAGAGTCAAAGTTCAACTTAGAAGACCGTGAAAAGTCAAAATGGGAAGATCTTTGTGTTACGGAGGTAGTACAACGTTAATTTATTTTAGTTATATATATGAATCAATATTACTACTTTTAAAATAGTACTCTGCATTAGGGTTCATTCAAATTAAATGAACATCAATAAATGATGAAATCAAAATTATCAAATATTCAAGTGCAACACATAGAAACTTTGATGTAAGTTTCTTCTTCAATATATATAAATGAATATATAGGATAGGATTAAAAAAGTCATTTTGATCCATAAAATAAGGGACATATGAGATGCATAGTCAAAGGAAAATGTGTGAAACTATATTATACATATAAACACAGTGTAACATGTGCCCGGCCTTCATTCCTCTAAAGATATTAGTTAATTTTTTAGAATGCGAATTGAAAAGAGATTAAAGAAAAGGGGTTGAGTTCCAAACCCTTCAATTGGAAAGAGTGAAAAGGTATTGTGTCTTGGTCTAATTGGAAAATTTCTCCCCTTCGAAGCATTTCTTATTTCTATTTAAGGAGAAGTCTAAGGCTTGATTTTAGAATAAATTGCCCAAAATATGAGGAAAGCATGAACAAAGTTCTAAAATGAGATCACATATATTTCCTTATCAAACAAAATGTGGCGCATTCACACTTATTTTGGGAAGTTCTTATAGATTAATATAGAAAAATATTAAAAATATCGAAAAATATTAATAAATGGATAGTCATCTAAATACCAAATGGGTGTCATATGTCAAAAACAGGTGGACTAAAAGTATGCATGTTAAATCTGGTTTAATATACTAACTTAACGTTCTCATTGAAAAATGACACACTTAATTAGACAATAATCTAATAAAGTAATATAATTTGAGTATGTTTTGAGAAACAGTCTTGACGAGTACAGTATAATGGAATTGATGATACCTGCGAGGTTATATGCTTAATGATTAAATTATCATGTAAAACGCTAATTATTTCCTAAAATATAAATGACAACCTTTAGCCGAGAAGTCCATAAAGGAAAGTGCAAACATTAAGATGGGATGAGTAGAGTATTAGAGATTAAAGAACATAATGAAAAAGATTAAAGTATCAGAAAGAATATCTAAGGGGAGATTTTCGATTTTAGTCCTATAACATTAGGTAGTGCCCATTATATATTAGTCATGTAACTTACTAGCTTGTAGATTTGATCGTGTAATGAATGAATATTTGCAATTTAAGGATTATTTTCTAGGAAAGTACACTTCTAGGCAAAAAAATCGACACGGACGGCATCTTTTCCAATATATTTTATACCGAAAAGTAGGGGTGGGCATAACGATTTGATTTTACCGAACTGAACCGTACCAAACCGAACTAAACCAAACCGTATGCTATTTGGTTTGAGTTTGGTACTATTTCTTCCAAACCTTATTAAACCGAACCGAACCGAAACCGATAAAAACCGAACCGAATTAAAGAAATTCAAAAAAACCTTCATATATTATTAAAAATTAACAATTTTAAACCAAACCAAACTGAACTAAACCGAACCTAACCAAACCGAAAAATAGTATGGTTTTTGTTTGGTAATAATTCTTCCAACCCGTTCCAAACCGAACCGAATCGAAACCGATAAAACCCGAACCGAAAACCGATATGCCCAGCCCTACCGAAAAGTGTACTCTTCGGGTGAAAAGTCCTTAAATGATATAGATGTATTTCTCACTCTATTGGGAGTTTTTTGTGAAATTTCCTTTCTGGGCATATATTTTGTCAATTTTTTTAACCTGTATTTTTATTTCATTTCCCTATTCATGTGTTTCTTTTCATAATCATTCTCTTTTTATTAAAGATCGTTTCTCACTTTACTTTTTTATATTTCTTTTTATTTTCAATTTTCCCCTTTTTTTCTTCTTGGTACTTTTTTGTGTGTGTGTTTTGTTCATCTTTCTTCTTTTCTTTCTTCTTGTTTCCCTAATCCCACCATCATCATATATATTTTTTCTGCTTTCTTCATCATCGTATTTTTTTAAGTAAGTCCAGTCATATAAACTTTATCAACTATAGGAATCTTTGTGATATGAAGAATAGGGAAATTTAAGATAGAAAGAATTACATACCATACACGAAGAGAGATAGATGTGAGAAACATTATTTGAAAAGAGAAAAAATAAGAAGAAATCTAGAACAAAAAACCGTCACTATTCACTAACATGTCAAAAACCGGTGAAAAAAGATAGGATGAAAAGGGACACAGAAAAAACAAAATGGAGTACTAAACGGAGTAGTTTTTGAGAAGGTGAAAAGGGAAAAAGAAGAAAAATGGAGAACAGTTGGGTAGGTTTTTGTTTTTTCATCCTACAAAACTATAGAAGTCATATTTTAGGGGAAAAACATACTATGTGTTTGTTTTATAATTATCATTATATTTTGATCCTATATTTGTAATAATTTCTATAAATTTAATACGGAGTAGTACCTTTTCTTTGTGTAGAACCGCCGGAAAACTTGACAACCTTCTTGGCATCTTCTCCATAAACACTAACGCTGTTTAACGTGACCCAATAAAAGTCGTCACCTTCTCTTGAGAAGGGCGTGACTACAGTGTAAACCTCCTTAACGGCTGCTTCCGGCCCGAAGCTGATGTGGCTCCATCCATTTGGGTCGGACGAGAAGCAATAAGCGAACTTTCCGCCAATCGATTGGGCCAGCTGTTGGACTATGGAGGACGGGCCGAGGCCTAGGCCCACAATGCCCGAAGTGTCTTTGCTAAAGTCTCCGCTATTTTCGTGGCCACACCCAAACACGACATCCTTGAAGGTGGCGCCGTCGCCGAAGGAGACGACGTCCGTCGCGACGTCGCCGGTCGAGGCGGAGTAGTCATTGTACGACACCTTGTACTCACAAGTGTTGCGGTCGGTGCACGTTTGGGAGTCGCCGGCTGTGAGCTTACACGCGGCGGAGTTGCACGGCGGCGCCACGTAGGTTTGACTTTTTGTCGGGTCAAACATGGGGAGACTTTGGTCAAAGCAAACCTCACATGATTTACATTGCGTCCAGGTCAAGTCACTCCCAGTGTCGATAAAACCATACGTTTCAAAGGGTGGGGTCCCGATTGAGTACTTCATTACATAGCCACCCTGAGAAGCCTTCGTCGGAGTCTTGAATTTGGACGCGCCGGCGGCGGCGCGTGAATGAGAGTGGTTGGATGCCTCAATGATAGATTCGAACCGGGTCTTTGAAGGGTCGCGGAAAGGGTTCAGTGGAGAGTCCGGGTGGATGAGGTCAACTGTGAAGCCATTAGTGCTCTCAATGGAAAGTACAAAAAGGGTAAAGAGGGAGACTAATGACATTGAAAGAGTAATGGAGGATCCGGATTTATAAGCCATTGTTATTAGTTGACGATTAAGAAACGAAGATTTACATCCGTACATATATGCATGGTCTCTTAGCTTAGCTTCATCTTGTGCTTTTATTACTCCATTTATTAGAGGTGTGATAACTGATTATAGTCATTAAGGATGTAGTAACATATATACTCGTATGTAATTATGTATATGTATGCATGGGATACGAAATAGTGATGGATCAATTTAGACATATAAGTTCTTCCCATAGAATTGAAGATGTCACTAGTTCAAATTTCATTGTAAAATGTTAGCATTATCCTGAACAAATACTCCAAATACTTTAATAGATTTAAAAAAAATTACAAAACTATGGATACAAGTTCAAATAAAAAGTGTCATTTTCATGAAAAATAAGAATAAATCCAAATATCTAATGTATTGGATTCATGATTTAAGATGTTTTTACTTGGACTTAAGTTTGGTGATCTGGTCTAGTATGGTCTGAAGTGGTCTGGTCTGATCTATTATAATTAAAAGTAGTTATATTTTGGCACGGATTATCGTTTTTCGTGCCAAATAGCTCGTGCCAAGTGTTTTTGGCACGAATTTGGCATAATCCCTGTCAAAATCCCTGTCAAAATCTCTGCCAAAATCCATGTCAATCCTGTGTTTTTTTTTGTAATGATTGGGTTTCTGTATTAAAAAATCGTGTCAATTTCATAAAATAAATAAGGAATTAGACTCTATAAAAGATTAAAATAAACTCTTCTGCAGTTCTGCTATTAACAAAAGTATTACGTAGTACTCCGTATTAAGTATGTTTACTTTTTAAAATGTCAAAATCAAGTTAACAGCCGCTCTTTACGTTTTGTATCCTGTGTTTCCTCTTAAATTTATGTACATGCATGCAAAACGCCAAAACATATGGGTGCATATGTGCAATATATAAGCTACTAATTATTTTATTACTAAAAATGTTATACTGGGGTACAACATATTATTCAATTATTAACAACCCAAAATAATTAAAACCCAAAAACACTACAAGTAGTATATGGACTGAAATAATATAATCCCAAAGTTGCAAAAGCTAGACCGGCCCTAAAAACTTGCGCAATCAGTTGGCTTGAAGGTAACGGTTTGCTCTTCCAAATCATATCCAACAAGGTAGTCAATCTCGGACAAGTTCCCGAAGATGGACAGGTCAATGTTTGAATCCGTAATTATAGTCAAACAAGTCAACCCCGCCGCCACCTCCAAAAAGGTCCCCTTCTGCGACAGCTTCACGTCGGCGCCGCCGCTGAAGTGGGCCACAATGTCCGGCACCTCCACAAGGTCTTGGGTCGAGTAGCACAGCCCGAACACCCCTTCCGGGTCATCCACGGGTGTGGCCCGAATACTGCTCTTCAGTTCACTGACCAAGCTGGCGAACAACCCGGACGGAATCATGGTCAAAGTCGTCCCAGAGTCAATGATGATGTTTGGTTCGGGTGTCCCTTTGGAGCCGATCCTGGCTGACCGGCCACCGACGTTGGACGTTGACTTCACGGTCGTCTTGACGGGGAACTTTTTCCCGCCAACGCTGAGGCTTTCCAGGGAGAGCCAGTAGAACGCGGGCTGGCTAGGGTATTTGATAATTGGCGTTTTAACGGCGTTAGGGCCTTGAACTTTAGCTTCGGAGCCGAAAAGGATGTGGCTTTTGGATTCTGGTTCGGAGGAGAGGCAATAGGCGAATTTCCCCTGGATTTGTTGGTCCAATTGCTGGATTATGGAGACTGGGGAGTTGCCCAGACCCACAATGCCTGATGTTTCTGTATAGACATTGAAAGAATTATCTCAACATAATACGTAGTAATCTATATAAAAACAATATAAAAGAAAGATATGAATTTATTTACAATTATAGCATATTAATTAATTGAATAAAGCATGCACATTTTGAATATCAGAATAAACTTGTGTTTTACTATGTACGGAGTATTAAAGCATCTTCAATGCTAAAACGTTAACGGTGCATACGTGGCATGAGGGATAATCAATCAAAAAAACGATAAATAAAATATCTCTCTCCTTATTTGAAGGATCTTTATCTTTTTGGTAAGTTTTTCTTTACAATGTCAAGCACAATGTCTAGATGTAGACATTGTGATTGACATTGCAGAGAAAAGCTTACCAAAAACACATAGGACCGTGAAAAAACGGAGAGAGAAATGTCATAAAATTAATCTTTTGTGTCTATCTCTCTCATGCCACATGTGCACCGTGCACATTGTAGCATTGGAGATGCTCTTAGAGCATCTTCAATGCTACAATGTGCACGGTGCACATGTGGCAGCAGTGATAGCCACATAAATATTACCAAATAAATTATTTTTCTCCTTATTTGAATGATTGTATACAATTTTGGTAAATTTTTTCCTGCAATGTCAACAACAATGTCAACATTTGACGGTCCCTTTGACATTGTGGAGAAAAACTTACCAAAACTGTATAAAATCATTTAAATAAAGAAAGAAAAAAATTAATTAACTAATATTTATGTGGTCATCTCTCATGCCACGTGTGCACCGTGCACATTATAGCACTGGAAATGCTCTTATGATGCTAATTAAAATTGGGCTAAATGAGTCATCAATGCTTATAACGTACGTACATGTAAACAGTAAAAGAAATTAACATTTTTGGGTGATATTGAGGATAGGAAATTAATTAAGGTAGATTCTATGGTACCCATAAGGTACCATACATTTGTCAACATGGACCAATGAGAATGTTGCAGTTGAATTATTTAAATCTAAATTAAAAAAGATAAAGTGATGTGGTCCAATCAAATGGATGGTAGGTACGGTATCTCATTTTTTAAAAAGGTACCGGAGTTGTCACCATTAATTAATACTCCGTCCAATTTAGGAAAGGAAATACTTCTCGATTCCTATTAAAGATATTTTCTTAAATATGAATAAAACTTTAAAAAAGTGTACAAATAAATTAACTGCTATAATTTATTTTCCTAAAATAGGATCAAATAAATCATATTTTATTAATGAAAAAAACCTTACTATTGTAATTACATAAACTGAATAAATATATAAATATAACAGCTAATTAACTCGCGCGGGAGAATAAGTAATTGTGGACACATGTACATGTACATAGATCATTTAGTTTGTTGCAAAGTAATATGCTTGAAAATAAATAAGAAAAATTGTAAAGGATACTCTTAAAACGAAAACTATAAAAGATTTCACTAACTGTCAACTAATTAATACGATAAAAAACGGTCAACTAATTAATGTTTCACTCAGCCATATTTAGCAAGTATTATTGTGAATCCTCGTAATTTTTTTTAGAAATAATTCCAAATATATGACCAAAATAAAGTACTCAACAAAAATGTGACTAATAAATAAAATTTAAAGATTATAATCGTATCAAATGTTACATATATTCACATTTTTCATAGATATTTTTTAGTAATACTATAGGAAGAATCACATTTATTTATGCTCAAATATATGGATTATCTTTTCTTGATTAAGAACAGCGCTAGAAAGGAAGATGGTTAAATGTTTGTCACATCTTTAGTGATAATTAAAATTGGTATTATATATTCTAATGTGAAAAATAACAAGAATTGGAATATTTAATGAGAGTTATACCATTTGAGAATGTGCCTTTGTTTTGGTGGCCGCAACCGAAAACGACGTTGTCGAAAGAGGCGTCGCCCAAGGTGAGAGTATCAATTGCCACGTCACCGAAAGTCACGGACCGGTCGCCGTACGCCACCTTGTACTGGCACGTGTTGTCGTCGGAGCAGCCGGGAAAGTCAATGAGAGAGCATTGACTCGAGCCGCATGCGGTGGTTTGATATGTTTTGCTGTTCTTAGGGTCAAACAAGGGCAGGACTTGCGGGAAGCAGTCTGTGCATGGCTCGCATTGCGTCCACGTCACCACGCTGCCCGTGTCGGCGATGCCGTACGTCTCGAACCGCGGGTTCCCGATGGAATACTGCATCACGTACCCTCCCCCCGCCACTTTTATGTCGGTCTTGAACTTCGACGACTCTCCGGGGCGGCCACTGTGGATAGAGGCGGCGCGTGAGAGCGCGTGTTTGTATGCTTCGCGTACCCAACCATGCCTTGTTTTGGAGACGTCGCGGAGAGGGTTGGCGGGGGAGTGGGGGTGGATTAGCTCCATTTTGAAGCCATTGATGATCTCAGCAGAGAGCAAAGCAAAGAGGGAAAACACTACCAAGAATGGGTTTAGATATGTGTGTTTAGAAGCAGCCATTGTTACTATTGATGTAATGAGGATGAAGTGTTAAGGAAGTTGATAGGATGATGAAGTTTGCCCTCAGAATGGTCCCTTTTATATCAATGTTTTCATGCAATCTTTGGAAAGTTTGTGAATTGGAATTTTAATTTGGTCAGATTAGAAATGGAAGAATCATTTATTATTTGACGATATTATATATTGACTTCATATAGTTTCCTTTTTTGGGTGCATATGATCAATATTGATTGATATCCATAAAACTAACTGAAATAAATTTAGTAGTTCCCATAGTACTTGATGGTTTAATCCACGGGGCTTTAATAATTTCTATACTTAACCGTATTCTATTCCATATATACTCCTTATATGATATTATAGTCCTATATGACTATTACGAATGATTTTGTTCATGAAATCCTATACGATAACTTCAAGTTATTACGGAGTATACGACAAAAATTCTAGAAATATGATTAAAAGGAGTGACGATTTCTAAAATATGACTAAGCAATTTTTTTTCTAAACTAACGGTGTTTTGCATGTTTGTTATATATGTAGTACTAGTATTTTACCCGGGTATGATGCCCCGGGCAAGTGTTGTGAATGTTTAAATACTTTGTAAGATATATTTTTGGGAAAATGGTCAAATAGAACCTCGAACTTACATAAAAAGGTCAAATAAGCCCTTATATAGGAGGCTCTGTCCGGCCGTCGCCATTTGGGACAGTTCCCGGTAGAATTTTTTTAAGAAACTTTTTGAGCATCTTATTCATTAAGTCCAGTTTACTCATACCAAATTTCAGC